CCCATCACCGTGCCGTCCTGTGTGTGAAACTGAAAGGGAGGGGAGAGGTTGGCGAGACGAGGCAAGAGGGGAGTTGATCAGGGCCTAGACCTAGGTCTCCCTACCTTCCTTCACCGCCTGCGCCTGCGCAACAGGGCAAGCCTAGTTTCTAAATTTAGATCCCCGCCACAGCCGGCCTTCTCGCTGAACGAGTGGCTTGAACTGCGGGGCGAGAAGAGAAATTGGTCACGAGACGAGAAGTATTTCTCGAGACACGAGACGGGAAGTATTTCCCGTTCTCGGGACCGGTCCTGGCGAGAAGTAGGTCAGCTTCCCGGTCTTCTCGCTCGGGAAGGAAAAAGCACTTCCCGCCCGTCTCTAGTAAATTTGACAACTAGACGATATAACTTTTTCTAGAGCAAAGCACATTTTACAGCTCCAGTCGATAACAGATTTGAGTCGTGTGGAATCCGCCATTACCTTCTTCTGTCGACTATTGAGAATATGGTGGACTTCCGTTTTGGAAGGGAGAGGGAGGTGCAAAAACAATAAAATGCCAACAAAAGCCCCCCTAAAACCAGGAACATAATATTTTTGCAAAATAGTGAGCCAAACTTTTTTTGTATACCCTGCTCAAAATATTCCCTCTTTAGTGTACGTTGTTTGTTCGCCGGCCCTCTTCGGAACTCCTTCTATAATTAGGCTAAGTACATGACATAAAGTAGATCTAGAATCTAGATCAAGGCTTAGTCTGTCATAGTCATAGTGGGCTCTCTTCAGGAGATGTGGTCCCAGCCTAATTCCATAGAAATTTATACATTTATGTACACAATCAGAAACAATAACAAAAGTCACGTAAAATGGAAGGGGTTTCCCACATGCTAAATTCACATAAATAATTGTTTATGACAGTTTTAATGCCAAAGTTGAGAAGGATGTCCATAACATGCGACCATCCCAACAAACACAATGTAAAGAAGAGACCTAACCCTAACCGTACCCCTAGCCCTCTATTCTACTCTGTAAGACATAGCCTAGTGGTCGCTCATTACGGAAGTCATGCCCAAAATTGTTCTCAGCACACTAAAAATGTTTTAAAAGTATCGAAAAATAGTCTAAAATGTGTTTGGACCTTTTTTATAAATTTATTTACCTGTGGCATTTTCACTCTGGCAACTCCGTCAGATTTTTCACTTGACTTCCGATTTTGTGTATAAATATCTATGGAGTTCGGCCGGGACCACTTCTTCCGAAGAGTGCCTCATAGTAATAGTGTGATGCTTTTTAGAAATACATCTAGAATGCTCAATAATTTTATAAAATCACTCCCATCTCTTACAGGGTGTTATTTTGTAGCTTTTTCGGTACAACTTAGAATGTGGGTCCTGTCTGTTTAGACTTGGCATCATCCACACAGAGTACTGGATATCTATACTTATTTAAATATTCGGTATTGATGTTTTATCTGTACATCTAGCCTACAAAAGGAGCAGTAAAATTTCACTTGTTTTTAACAAGGCAAGGGGGGTTTCAGGGGGGCACCTAACAAAAACATTGAGGGGGGGGGGGGGGGGGGGGGGGGTTCAGGGGGGCATTTGACCATAATTTGATTTTTTGCAAATAGGTTTGATAGGCTATCTCTCCGTATCGGCATGCGCATCAAAAAGTAATCATTTAGAACCAGAAGTAATGGTCGGTGGTGTCAAAACTAGTATCCCCAAAGGGGACCCAGATTCTTAAGGAGTACCACATTTTCAGGGTTTTTTAAGGCCCTAACTGAACTCCTAAACAGGACTTCCCCCGTAACGAGCGACCACTCCAACAAATAATATAGAAGAGACCTAGCCCTGACCCTGGCCTAACCCCTACCCCTAACCCTCTATTCTACTTTTTGTTTCATAGTGGTTGCTCGTTACGGAATTCCTCCCCCTGAGCCTGAACACGATTTTGGCAATTAAAAAATGTCGTAAATGATTATTTCACGGGGGAGACACCCCCCTCCCCTGAACCCCTCCTAATGACCACAAAAGCATGCATAAACAAAACAAAAAAGTCAAACCAGCATGGATAGCATCCGCGATACAGGAGTAGTTCTATAAAATACAGAAAATGCTCTTCGAAAAAGGTTCTAAACATCGTTAAATATATGTAGCCTGGGCTTCTATGCATTTTTCATGCGACATCTGTAAATACATATAATGTTTATACCTTCAGAAATGGTACCTGCTCTATTTGAGGGACTCAGTCAATTCAGTAATGAGGAGGACTTCTATAACGAGCTACCACTTTGAGACAGAGTAGAATAGAGGGCTGGGGGTAGGGTTTAGGTTAGGGTTAAGTCTCTTCTTTATTGTGTTTGTTGGGGTGGTCGCTCGTCACGGAAGTCCTTCCTAACAATATGTATTGTAAACCAATATTTAAAAATCATATTGACAATCTTGACATAATATCCTAATGTGCTTGAGTTGTGAACACGAGGAATGTGCCCATGTGCTAAACCATGGGGGTTCATGAAAAATTTACTTTTTAAATGGTAAAAAAAAAATTACCCTCACATGATAAATCGTTATGTTGAGTGAACATTACGTCCATGCAATGACTATAAGTCCTTACAACGAGTCGAAAATTTAATCGCCAAACTGTGTGCCTAGGTGTAGATCAAGAAGCAAGTTTAAGTTGAATTGACACAACTGAGGAAGTGCCATTGGTAGGCTTCAAGATGAGGGAGGTGGCTCGGAGACTTGCTGTTTTGCCTTCCGTAGTCAGCCGACTGGAAGACCTGTACCAACAATCCGGAAATACTGACGAATGCTGTCTGCCTGGGTGGCCCAGGTCAACCACTGTGAGGGAAGACCGATTCATACTGTTGCAACCCAAACAACAACAGCTAGCATCACCTGGCAGCCTTTCAGACAAGCTACTCGCAAAAATGATTATATGTCAGCACTGGAATTGTTACAAATCACCAGCATGAATTTTCTAGCTGCATTCTAGACGTCCCCTCTGCAGACACAGGCTCACGGAAGACCATCGAGAAGCACGATGAAGGTGGAGTACTCATGATCAAATGTGGAGTACACAGCATCAGAGGTGGACACAAGCAGACTGGCATCATGTCCTCTTCACCGAAAAGTCGAGATTCCAGTTGGAGCCACATGATGGCTGCATTCAAGTGTGGAGACATCATGGACAGCGCTTTCAAGACGACTGCACTGTGGAAACAGCCCGTTATAAGGGGAGGTTCTGTGATGGTGTGGGATGGAATAAATCTTCACAATAGGACCCCTATCTATCTTGTTTAGGGCAATCTCAATACCATTCCCAATCGCAATGAGATTGTACAGCCTTTAGTCGTCATGCAGCTGCAGCTAATTAGTGCTGGGGCAGTCTTTCAAAGTGACAATGCCAGGCCACACCGTGCTCGTGTTATCAACAATTTCATTGCTCAAAATGGAATTAACAGACTGCCTTGGCCAACAAATAGCACTGATCTAAACATAAAATCTATGGGATGCGCTAGGATGTTGTGTTCAGGAAAATTACGCACATGACCAGCTCCTTCACAATCTTCAGCAGGAGTGGAATGCTTTTCCACAAAGTGTTCCTGAAAAACCTGATTATGTCTATGAACATGAACAATAGGTGCACAGAGTTCTTTGCTAATAGTGAAGGACACATTCATTACTGTACCTTGTACTGAAACCTTCATTTTTGTGAGTTTTTATTTTTTGGGGGTACCCATTTCCAACGTGCTAATTGTTGTTGAAGTTGATTTGTTATCACATGTTTCTTTAGATATTAAATAACTATCTGTAAAAACCAGGCTTGTTTTTGTCACTTTGTTCTCTTCTTATAATAAATTTAAATTCATATGAAAGTTTTCCTAACTTTTTTTCGAAGAGTATTTATGTAACAACTAAATTACTTACAGTCGACTCCACTTCTGTTGAGCTCGCTGCGGTTAAGTTGATTTTTTTCTTGGGTCCCAGCACAGGAGTGTCTTTTGCGTTTGAAACTTTGCATGATACTCCTGTTGGCCAACAACCAAACAAAAATTTTTTTTCTTTAAATCTTGATCCAGTAATGATGAAAATGTTTCTCTATTTAGGACCTATGTTTGAAAACTGACCTTTTGGTGCATACACAGGATCACAACAATATAAATGATTTACCGTAACCTAGCCTGCAGATTGTTTGTTTTAAGACAGTGACACACCCTGCCCCCACATTTCAGTGTTATTATCCCATTTCCCATATTAAATAGTCAGATGAAAGTGAATAAGCTTCGTAGTAATTTATGACAAGACTTTCGTACAACTGTACTGTACGTGTAACAAGACAACTAGTTAACCCAAGTTGAACTTAATTAGACAATATTATTGTTAGTAGACTGGATCACCACTCATGTTAATCTACTTTAAAAATTAAATCCTAGTATTCTTATTGTAAGCTGTCTAATGTAGACATAGAAGGGTTGAAAATCTTAGTTTTGATTTTGATGCTCAAAACCATGCCCTTTTTTTTTTTAGCTTTAGCCTGTCCTGTGGCATGGGGCTCATGGGTATGACTTATATTAATTTTGGAAATCCTATACTAGATTTGCAATTTTGATTGATCATTTTGGCATATTTTAAATCATTCAGACATTCCTTGTTGGAACATTAGTAAACATAAAGAAATATTTGTATTATTAATTTCTCACACAAGCATACATTAAATTACAGTACTGAGTAAAACATGCCTACTGAAGACCTTAGCATTTGTTTGGAGGAAACAAGTAAGTAATGATATTGATAGAGATATTGTGCTGTATTTACTACACTACAGTTACCATAGAGTTCACTTTTGGGGTTTTTTAAATTTTATTTGATTAATCTTGCTAAACTGAAAAAATCTGTCGGTCCTGCAGATTTCTGTTTAAGTTCTGCCCCACAATGGGTTGTGTTTAGAAAATTATGTTCTCCGTACATGCTTGGAATACTTTGATCTAATTCTACCATATTTTTTTGTGTGTATTTCAGTTTGAGGATGATGACAATGAGGAAGACATACCCTTGGAAAAAAGGAAAAAGATATTTTCCAAAGAATGTAAGTTTCCCTTATGTTCCACTACCTCCACTACCTTTATCAGAGAGAGTTTTTGCATTTTCCGCCCTAAAAAGTTAAAAAGTGTATCATTTTCCCTGAGCAAGGGTCTGAGGTGTAAAATAAAAGATATGAATGTGGCGCAACGGCCAGTGGTACGCACAGGCAGTGTGGAGATCTAGTGTGCTTTATCGTGACTGCCCGTCTAAATTAAGTTTTCATTTCCCATTCGACCACAAAACGAAAACAAACAAGCAAACAAAAACTACCATGGCGGGTAAAAATAACAGTGCACACTTTTGCGGGACCGCTATAGGCCTACTTACAAACAAACAGAAATAGCTCGGGAAATTTTCTACATGAAAATCTCTGGATTGTGTCTACTTCGCACTCAAGCACGCTTCGGCATTAAGCACGCTTAAGCTTTCTCCCGATGACCGTGCTTAAAGCCGGCATGGACTGTACTGCTTAAGGGGACAGGCGGCTGAGGTTTGGGCCAATTTTCATCTCTGGTGTCTGGACAGTAAATATCTTCTTTAAAAAAAATTTGATTTCTCTTTTATTTCGTGCCTCTAGAATTGATCCCAACAGCTCCAAGTGATGCATGTGCGCTATAAAAGTATAAATTATTAGTATTTTTGTAAAATAAAGATGTCAGTTATCCACATTTACACTAGCATGGATGTTCTGTACCATTTTTAATTTTTTATCTTCCCAAGTGGAATAGTTTTTCAACTGAACTTTCTCTACATTTAGTGTCTATTTTCAAGATGGCCACTGTTGCCATAGCAACACGGATATTTACACAATATTTTACAAAAGATTTATCTTGTCCTTGCTATATACTGAGTAATATAGGAAAGCTTATATTTATAGGTCTTAATAATAACAAAGTTGTATATTTCAGCCTCCTGTTCCCATAACTCTATCTCTACGTCGTGTTTTACTATCGTATCCATACAACCTGGGGAACTCTGTGACACCACTTTCCAAAGAGGAAATTTACTCGGTAATCCGATCCGTACGCTTTGCTTAGCAGTCTGTCAAAATGATTTTTTGAGAAATACTGAAAGTTTCAAAGCCTCTATTATGTGAAGAATACAACCCCAGGGCGTACGGATAGGGTTAGATAAGTCACGCCTATTTGATTCATTCAAATACAGCATTTTGATTGATTGAGGCAGAAAGGTCTTTTATGCCTTCTATTTTGAGAAATGCTACCTTTTTTTTCATTTTCTATGTTTTGTGTTGCTATTGTTGGTCATCTTTTATCTGCAACATGTGTGTTATACTGTTCTATTTGTCATGTTTAGTGTTGACTTTTATCTTTGTTGAACTTCTGTCCTAAATGTTGATTAAGATGGTCAAGTCTGTAGTGCACTCAAGCTTACAAGGAATGCTAAACAGTGTAATTAAAGCAACTTGGATGCATGGTCACTGAAGTATGCCCTATCCCAAACTCAAAGACAGGGCACCACACTGCAATAAAATAATCGCTGCCACTACTGTAATTGAGGAACTCCGTCGCCATCAAATACACTCGTAGACGTAGGTCTTATAAATTAAAATAATTTAAATTTGAGCCATGTGCACAACACAAGCACTGATTATGTACGCTAACAATTGGATGGGTAAAGTCTACCTCATAGAGGTGAGGGGGGCTAACTCCTGACAATCTTGTGGCTGCTGTGGGTGCTTCCCCCCCGCCCCCCCTCTATGTTTTACTGCTCTATAATCTGGTCATGAGATAATTTCCTGGCCACAAATAGCTAGACAAAGACAACCATACTTGAAGTCAAATTTCTTATACATAATTGGTAGTATTGTCATCTCTGCTTCTTTGCCTTCTGTTTGTGCATCCACATCTTTAGTTAAATTTACTGTAGAACAAATCTTGAGACCGTGGGTGGTTGGCGGGTGCTGTGGTGTGGTTTTGCTACTTCTTTCCTATCAAACATCTATCGTCTTGATCTCTTCTCCTTCTTTTTATGTTTGTTACTCTTTTTTAACACCTCTAATCTTCGGCACTTATAACATGATTATGTTGCAAGTGCCATAAAACTCTTACAAAAACTAAAATCTTGAGACCATTATTCCCTCTGTTCATTTAAAAGTTAAAATTATGGTTTGCCCTAAGTGTCACAGTGAGTGTGATTAAAATTATTAAATAAGATATTTTCTTGGTTATTTTGGTGGATGAACATACAATATACATGTAATTTGAATTCAGGAACTCGTTTTCATTCATAATCATTGATGCTACCTTGAATGAGAAGTTTTGCAATAATGTTCCCATTGTGGGAAAGTTTTTCGTGTGTGGACTCATTTCTGCCTGGTTCTTTGTCTCACTTTGATTACCCTTTCAAACAAGTCAGCCTTCGCCCCTGACTGCAATTACTAACTGTAAAGCGTTTTTCTAGATTAATTAGATAATATAAATATAGCAACTGGTGTCTCATCATGTACTGTGTTATGTGTGTAATTTGTGACACGTTTCTTGTGTTCTAACCTTTGCATCAGATGGATTTTTGTCACCATTGCAACAGAAATTTCCCCGCGGGGATAAATGGAAGTAGTCATTGCCTTTCCTGTTTTTAGATCTCTTTTAGTTGGTTTATTGAAGCTCGTTTTGGTAGCTCCTGAAAATTGATGTATTGTACATTCATATATGCAAAACTTTTTCATTTCTCTTTGGAACAGTGAGATGCATGATGTATGGCTTTGGTGATGACCAGAACCCCTACACAGAGTCGGTGGACCTGCTAGAAGACTTAGTCATCGAATACATTACTCAAATGGTAAAATACAGATTTAGTGCTACTAGACAGTTCCCTCCCTAAAATAGCATCTTTCCTTAACCTATGTACAATTATTTAATGTGTTGCCTTTAGCAATATAACTTTTTTAAAAATTGTATCCTAAATAATGGAGTGGGTCATCTTGTAGTTTACAATCTTTGATCACAAGGTACATTAGGACCTTGCATTTGGGTTTGGGCACCAGCAGTGTCCTTGGTGTATAGAGATTAATAATAGCATCTTAAAAAAACTTTGCCTTTTCCTAAACACTTAATAATATAATTGTTTCTCTGTCTATTATAGCAGCAAGTATTTATTTTGTTGATTGTCAATAGTCAAAGTCATCCCACATGTTTACAAAATGCAAAATTCTTATTCAATTGCTATAAAATACAGATCTACTAAGTACTCCTATAAAATCGGAGCTCTGTTCTCTCTCCTTCCAACCCAACCCCCCCTCCTCTGTCAAACAACTTAAATTAGATTTGCATAAAATCCGCTATTTGTAAAGGATATATGAAAATACATATTTTTATTTGTGTATTTGCAATATTTGCTTGACTTATAGTAATTGATGGGAAAATATTTCCTTTTATTTGTGTGTATCTGCGTGACTAATCAAAAATGACATTGGACGTACATTTAATGTGCAATTCATGTTTATTTGGCATAGTCTGCTACATAATCTTAATCTAGTTAGGTTCTGGAGAATTCAATTTTTTTAAAATAAAAAAATTCTTAAGTTTGGTGAGGATTCTGAGGGAAACCCCTTTGTCCATCTAATGGTTGGCATGTCTGAAAATGAATACATTTTTCATGGTTTTTAAGATAGCAGATTTATTTTTCAATGCTGCGGCCTCTTCTTTCAATACTTGTTGTTAAGGTCTTAATATGGGGTTACTGGGGTAAAGAACGAGAAAATAAGATTGACTGAACTGGCACAATTCTATAGATAAAGGACTTAAATTTTAAAAGAATTGTAATGAAGTTTTTTATTTGCAAAGTCTCCTTGGGGAAACTGTCACAGTGTGTTTTCTGTCTTTGTATATCTTTGTCTCTGTCTGATGGATACATAACATTTGTCTTTATTTCATGTAGAGACTTTGAAAACCTTTGTTCCAATTGTCTGTGTACTTTCTGTCTCTGTGTCTGTTTTGTCCCAGTCTGACAGGTGAATAACTCAGTTTCTTTGATAAAATCACCCTTGTTCAAATTAGTAGAAAATTGTCCCCTTCTTTCCAATGGCAAGCACACAATTATTACCCAAAGTTCATATGTCTTTATCTTGTGTCCTGTGGTTGATTTGAAATCCTTTTGCTCTTGTTTCCAGACGAGGAAAGCTATGGAAATCGGCAAATCAGGTCGGATCATTGTGGAGGACATAATCTTCCTAATACGAAAAGATCCAAAGAAATACTCTCGTGTGAAAGAGCTCCTGTTGATGAGTGAGGAACTACGGAAGGCAAGGAAAGCCTTTGATGAAATCAAGTATGCAACAACTAAGTGATCTGATTTCCCATGTGTGCACAAGTGTAAATTTGTGAAAAGAGGGCTCGGGTTGGTTTATCATTGCGTGAATTTAGTATGAATGTCATCAGACAAACTAGTGCTGTTTATATCAAGATGTGCATGAATGATAGGGAACATAACTGATCACTTTTGAGTGTGAGGCTGTTTGAAATGAATATTATTCATGGAACAATTGGTACAATGCCTTAGCCAGACTTATGTTTTTTTGGGGGGGTGGGGGAGGGCAAAATCATTCCCTTCACATCTGTCATGTTTGAGAAATTTTTCTTCGAGTAGATGGGTTATTGATTAATGATCTTCTTTTCTTTGCAAGGATAGCGTAATGAAGTAATTGAATGTGTCAGCTTATCCCTATCAAAATGATCATTCATACAGAGGCCTATATAATGCTGGGAACTTAGTACTGATGAGAATAGCTTCCTTCAGTACAGTTTATGAGGTGCCAAGGATAATGACGCTTAGTCCCACACAAGTTGATATGAGCTTGCTGTGTTGAAGTTGGTATTATCACTTACTGTACCTTAATTGTCTTGCTGTACTACACTGTGAAAACTCTACCTGTTGGTAGGCAAACTACCCTTGCTTATGTTTAAATCTTGAACCCTGAACCTACAAGACCTGTGCATCTGGGTTCTCTTTAGTCAACTGCAAGCAGGGTTAAATTCTCGTGGAGGTTTCTAAGTCAGTTTATTTTAAGCCGTAGTTTCACTTGCAATTTCTCAAGTCCAGTGTGTCTGAAGAAAGTTAGAAGCAGCTGAACCATGTTTCAAAGAATTTAGCTTTGCGGTAAATGTTTCATGTTATAAGTGATGGATTTATCTGTTTATGTTTTCTTTACTGTACTGTCAGACCTTGTTTTACTGCCAACCTTGGGGTGGGCATGAAGTTGACAGTGAGAAATGATTCAGCTATAACCAGATGAAAAACAATGTTATAATTAATAAGTTGTTTCCGTTTGTTCCTTTGTACAAAATTTTATGAAATGGCCTTCAGGCTTTCTGCAGGTGATGCATGCTAGCTCATAGAGTTCTGTATGGGAGACAGGGAGATTATCACTGTGTAGCTGCTGAATAGATGCTGTGCACAATGTATAGTGTGAACCTCTGGTGATGTTGTTAGGCAAATTTTCATTAAAGTTTGGCTAGGGCCGTACATCTCAAGCAGTTTTAGATTGAGTTATAAAGAGACAAGTATGTTTTTACATATATATAGTCATAGAATGTAAGCGTCCCTATTCTTGCATTGGCAAACCTGGTGGTAAAAGGGGCTGATAGTAAAAGTCTTATTTCATTTAATGTTAGTCTTATTTAATTTACCGGTAATATAATTTAAAATAAATTGATACAGGTAGTACTATTGTGTCATTGATAATGTTAACTTTCATCCTATGTACATTTCATTATAAGTATAATATGTATGTTATTGTATGGAACACTTTTTAATAAAGATGTTAAAAACTTAATTGCTTGTTTGTGTTCTTGGACCCCGTTCAACTCCTGAGTATTGGATATGATGATGTCTTGAATAGTGTTCGCACCATTTCTAATATATTTGCCCCCATTTTTTAAATATAATTTTTTAAGCTTGAAAGCTTCGTGACTGTCTGGAGTGACATTATGTAGCCTATCCAGGATATCAGGGCTTGGTTGAAGTATCTAAAAAAATACACAGAGTAGAAATTCAATTTTACTTTCTTGAAATATTCCCATCTACATCTTTGAGCATGGACCAATGGTCTTCATAAAATCGAGAATTCTGCTGGGATCAACGATGGAGAAGAAATTCTTCAAATTAGGGCATTTAAAATGTTTCTCCCCTAGTCCATCCATAGTCTGGACATGTATATGAAGCTGTGCTTGATTGTAACGTCAGCATCACTTTCGTCTCTTCTGTAGAGACTCAATGGTTTTCGTGGGCTTTGGCGTTTGTGGAGTGTATTGTTCATGTGTTCTCTTCAGTGTTCCTCTCAAAGACTTGAGGTATAGCTTTTGACCTTAGTTTTAAAGTCTGTCTGTGAGAGGGTGTTCTCAGTTGATCCCAACAATGGGGACAAGAATTTCTTCAGTAGAAAATAGACCTGCTGATTTCCTCGGATGCCTTCATGACGAGGTTAACTAAGTATCTCTGCAAACACAATACCCTTTCCTTGTTCAGTCAAGGGGTGAATCCTCCGCTGAAATTTAACTGTTTTAGGGTTTAAGAGTGACATTGGTGAGTGAAATGTTGCAAGGCTAAGGAATCATACTCATACAAAATGAGAGAAGATGATCTCAGAGAATTTTATATGGAGGCCAGTGCCATGCGAATGGTAGTGGCCTGTGTAGATAAAAGAAAAGGGAGTCCTCGGGATGAAGCCTCCGCTGTTGAATGTTGTTTGTGGATAGGAAAGGGCTGCGTACAGCTGAGTTTGATTTAGAGCTATCACTATCAGGGAAGATTCTCTCTGCATTGGGGAATTGTTGGATGGGTGTTTTTTTGTGGTATGTTCTATGCTTTTTGGTGGTTTTTGTCCACGACAGGACTGTCATTACTCTAGTTTTGTTTTGTTTTTTAATAAGAGTTTTACGGCACTTGCAGCACAATAAGGTCATAAAAGTGCCGATTACTCTAGTTTGCTTTTATTTTGGAGCACAAAGCCCCCCCCCGACTTCGATGAGGTCGACTTTGTTTGAGAGACAGAAAATTTGCGTGGCTGCCGCCCCCGATTGGAGGGCTGCTTGTTCAATTTGCTGGAGGATTTGAGTTTGAGGGGGATTGACCAACTCCGTCCTACCCAGGGATACGCCTGGAAGGGGGACAATAGGTGTCATCCTCAATAGGGAGGGGGGGTGTCTAGTGTCTGCAGGAGTAGGTGGGGTATTGGAAGGTGGAGCAGACGAGGGGGGGGGTGGGATTGGATACTTCACACTCCATAAGACTAGAGGGATGGGGCGTGAAGAAGAGGAGGTGGAGGGGTGAAAAGAAGGGGCGAAGAAGGAGTACGATACACCTCATCCGATAGAGCCCCGAATCTGTTATGAAGTGCCTCAAGGGAGGGAGAGAAGTTTTTGTTGGCTGGTGCAACTTTCGCCTATTGACCGCGGGCCCTGCGAGGTCGGCAGTAGAAATACTGGCCAACTTTGTAACTGGTCAACTACCTTCGCATATGACCAGCTTGGGACGGGGGTCACAATTGGGGCAAACAGCAATTTAATTCGCATTTGGTACCCTTGGATGGCACATTCTTAAAGCCAAGTCGAGCACTCATTGCTGAAAGTTGTGCGCTAGCCGTCGGGATTGGGACAGCAAGGACTGGCCTTGCATTGCCTTTCCGAATACTCGGTCTTGCTACAACGAGAACCCATTGCTGCATGTCGGCATTGCGGGCGACTGGCTATGGCCAAACTTCTGACATACTGTGAAACACGGATAACTTGAATTCATCGGGAATTGGAAATAGTGTTCGAGATTTCCGTGATTCGTCATGTCCGTGAAAGCCTCAATACATAATACAAATACAAAGAAATAGAGAGAAAAATCAACGGAGATAATAAAAAAAAACAACATTAAAATAATTAACATTGTTAGCTCCCTTGATGAACGTCACGAGTTGACGGTGTGAAAGCACGAAGATGAAAGAAAGTGGAAAGCAGAAAATCTCACGTGTGCACTGCCGACTCTTACGTCTTTTCTCTCCTCTCATTTAATTGGCTTACAGAAAGTTACGCCTCTTGCCATATGCACCGTGCACGTCCCACATCATAATTGCACCGTGGCGAGCCAGTTATGCGGTGCGGTCAGCATCACTCCCCCGACCACCCTTCCCCGTCCCCCCTTCCTCCAATCTCAAGTGGTGACACAAGGACCACGTTTTGGCTGTAACAATTAAAAAAAACATCTACCTGCGTCCAGAAAGGCTGTATAGCTGGATCTTTAGCAGAGAAGGCGAAGTGGATTTGTTTGAGATTTGTCGAGTGTTGCCGCAGTTGCGTGTACGGGAATTCCTTGAAGCCAATCAATATACAAAGAAAACATAGGGACTGAAACGGGACCGAGCACTATGTTCGAGATACCCGAGAATTCGTGATTTTCTTGTTCGAGATCCGTGGACTCTACTGCATTTGAAACAGCGCAGAGGGTTTGGCACTTAGGGTTGCACATCAAGGACCAAATACACGTATCAGTATCATGCTCGAACCGGGGCGACATGAATCGAATGTGAGTACAATAGTGTTCGACTCAAGGGTGGTCTCCCCCTGCCGAAGAGTAATCCAGCGGGCTTGGAACGCACCTTCAGTCCCTTCACAATTAGCCACAATTTTATTCACTGAGTGGGTGGTTGTCGGTTGCTCTGGTGTGGTTTGCTCCTTCTTTCCTATCAAACATCTGTCGTCCTTATCTCCCATATTTCTTTGTTATGTTTGTTACTCTCTTGTAACACTTTTAATCTTCTGGCGCTCATATGACCTTATGCAATTGCGAGCGCCGTAAAACCTCTACTTAAACTAAAACTCATTCACTGGGCAGTCTTTCACTACTTTCAGCTCATAGCTGCGAACGACTTCCTTCGCACGGTTGAACTTAAACATGACGTGTCACGCCGATTCGCAAGGAATACCGCTGAAGGACGTGATCTTCATTTTCAGACGCACGCTTGGCAAGGAGTGCGTCAGGGGACATCTTCTGTACGTTAGTGGGGAGGTATCCCACTGCTTGTTGTAGTGCATCTCCTGTCTTGAAGTAATTAAAGATTTAGAGCTGTAATTCTGCGTATCATTACTCCAGATGATTTCGTACAGCTATTCCGGAAGCTCTCTGGTCTGGGAGGAGGGAGAGTTGAAACAGCCGTAAAGTAAAGATTCATTTTCTTGAGGTTTGTGAATTGTTGTCTCGGCACTGAGGCCGGATCCGTTTCCGCGAGCCCTACTCTTTAGGCTAGATGTCCACAGACTCCTCTCCTCGTCATGAAATGTCTGGACAGAAATGTGCAGGTCGTCTTTATGATCTGCACCATCCGCTCCGCTCCGCTTGTTATATTATTTCGGCATGTGATGTAAAATGGTGCTGACATGAAAACGCAAAATCTTTCTTTGGTGGCGATACAAAAGGAAATATCTCTCCAATTATCATCGTTACTGGAATCATCCCATGCGTCGTCACCTCGCAAAACAATGAGAATTCAGTATTCTACCCCAGATATTCTCTCATGAAGAAATACATGTATATGCATAGCGAGTAGACTATCTGCTGAGGCGAGCTCATCTATCGCCATGATCTGGGGAAGAAGAAAGCTACATTTGATTTTCTTTTGACCACTTGCGCCCCCTGGCTTAAGTGCTTGTTGTTGTTGTTTTTTTCCCTTGATCATTAATCCCACCACCACCACCACCAGCAGCAGCAGCAGCGGCAGAAACAGAAGCACTATAAATAACACCAGTCACCCTCTTTATCTTTAACTTTAACAATTAACAATTGATGAATATAACGATAGGCTAACAAGAATAGCATATCCTTATTTCAGAGTAGAATGGTGTTCAGGAAAAAAGAATATTTAAAAATGCAGAAATGACGGTCAGAGCACAGCTCAAACACGCGCACACTGATGCTGTTTGAGATTTTCGTCATCCAGGGAACAACTGTTTTAATTACTGTTATTGGAACATCCTATTATTTAATAACTTGTCTCCTTTCTTTACTTTAGCCTTAGTCACGTTCAACGAGAGGTCGGATCCAACGAGGACAACAAGCCGGTCCCGGCAACATCGTTGAATGCGACACCCACTGTATAACACACCCGGTTCTCTTCACAGCTCGTGTAAAGCGTTCACCATGTTTAACGCGCAAAAGTGAGGAGTGGAACGGAAAGGAGGCTGTGGACACTATGAAGTGTTTGGCGCTTTTGTCATCAGTTTTCTCGAGCGGAGGTTATGGACAAGCGCTCGATCTTAGTCTTTAGTAACGTTGGGAGCAGGGGACGGGAGGGTCGCTTGAAGATTTAGTTTCCATTTTATGTTGGAATGGTTGGTATGACTTGGGAGCTCCCCACCCGCCACCAAGCCCAGTTAGGGGATACATTGGTGTGCCTGGGCTACCCCAGAGCTATAGGCCGCTCTTCAGGAGAAGTGGAATAATTGACCCTACCGTCAAGATTGACCCCAAGACAAACTTGTCACAAAACAGAAGGGGTTTCAACTTTCAACCGATTGAGTGGCCTGGGCCATACTTAGAGGAAAACGCGGGCCAAAGAAGACGTTTTTGTATTGGCGAGGACAGTCCGCAGACTGATCTCACCTCAACCAACATGCACCTAGATCTAGTTTCCCTCAGTACAAGTCACACCTCACGGCCAAAGGCGCCGACTCTGAGGGATTTGCCCGGGGGCCTTATAGTTTTTGGCTGCACACGAGGTCAGTAGTGGAAGAAAAGACAAAGGAAGAGAGTGGGTTGAAGGAAGGAGAAGCGGAAGATACTGGGTAAACTAAATAAGGTATCGCCCATGAACATCAGAGGGTTGATCTCCATGTGCCATACATGTACATGTATCTCATCATGGAAGGGTTTTCACCTTCTGTAGTCAGGACTGTGGGTTTATTTAAATTAAATTATTATATTATCCCAATCCCCTATCCCACAGAGAGCACACTGGGCCTAGGTTTCAAAACTATCTATCATATCTTTTTTTTTTTGGGGGGGGGGGGGGGGGGGTAAGTGTTTTACGGCGCACGCAATTGCATACGGTCTTGTGAGCGCGGGGGATACATTAAACTTTTTCAGTTGATAGGAAATTTTGAATTTTCCCCTGGTGGCGGCCGAAGCCTACTCTTATCGATTTTAGACCACCAATGGATCTTTCTCACGTGCGCAACTTGCTCACGGGCCCTCCTAGATTTTTTGCCCTTGTCCGAGAAGGCTATGTGTAGATCTTTCCTACCAGAAGATCAGGGGTGCGGCTGAAAGTCAGCAGGAAGAATCCCAGCCAGCATGAAAACGGCGGCCAGAAATCTACTCGATGTAGGACAACGATAATGTCCGACCTAGTTATCATGTTCAGCATATTCATGGGAAAAAGATAGACATAAGAATAATATTACGATGAAATCATCTTCATGCGTGCATGAACAAATGAAATTCAAGGTACCGCACAAGTGTGTATAATACGGCTACCTAAAATGTTTACATTATAATTAAAAACACTGAAAAATCCCGAAGCTTTTCCATTTTTCCAGCGAAGAAATTGTTATTTGGTTAGATTATCACTACCGTACACAATTTGTTAACAACAAGAAAACTTCATATTTCAATTTGTTTTGTTGTGTTTCAGCAGCTTATTTAAAATGCTTCTCGGGAAAGAAAACACGCAAATATTAAGGGGGGGGGGGGGGGGGGGTGGCCTATAAGAAATACCCCGGCCACCCCCATCCCCGAAAAAAACTGAAACTAATTAATGTCCTTATATGATATTAACAGAATGTTGCCATATATATATATATATATACTTAATATACATACAAAATTTGAACCTTTTAAACAAAAAATGTGGAAGCCTTAATAATTTTAGTACGAGATCTAATATACATGTATTTTAATATATAATTATAAATAGCCTAAGATCTTAAGAAATTAGACATCCTATAACGTAATTCGTTAAAATTGTGAAAAAGCAGCCTTTACATAATATACATGTATTCCTCTTAGTTGCCTAGGAAATATGGTTACACCCTCCCCTCCCCCCTCCTCCTTTTTTGTAAGCAGTACAAGTGTTACATGTATGGTTGTAGACTTTAGATAGATCATAATGATATAATCATAGGTTTAGATCTATACTTTTAACTGTCACAGCCAAAGAGGTCACTGTCAAAATTTAAAATGCCAAATGGGCACAGATCTCTTCATGACTTGGGACAGGTTTCTTTGAAGATGTTTAACGGAAGTAATTGGTGGCGGCTGGCTGGCGATGGTCGCAAAGAATTCAAGAAATCGACTATTGGTTCTATCTTTGACCAAAGAGTCTACATAACAAGAGGGGCCACTTCTCTCTTTGAGCCAATTAAAAAAGTGTCCTCAAAATTCGGTGGCG